CCCCTCTCAGCCGTTGTGGGGCGGATGTGGGCACAAGTGCCCGAGTACGTGGGCGCAAGTGACCGCAAACACGTGGGCGCAAGTGACCACGAACACGTGGGCGCAAGTGACGGTGCCTCCGAGAGGGAGGGAATCGGAGAGAAGGAGTGAGTGTGTCTTTGTATATATATATATCTGTGTGTGCACCTGTATTTTGTTTGTTTGCTTGCTTGCTTGCTTGCTTGCTTGTTCGCGTGTTTGTTTTGTTTTGTTTGTTTGTTCGTTTGTTTGATTGATTCTTTGTTTGTTGGTTTGTTTGTTGGTTTGTTTGTTTGTCTGTTTGTGTGTTTGTTTGTGTGTTTGTTTCTTTGTTTGTTTGTTTGTCTGTCTGTTTGTTTGTTTTGGTTGTTTTGGTTGTTTTGGCTGTGTACTTGTATGTATGTATGTATGTATGTATGTTTGTTTGTTTGTTTGTGTGCGTGTTTGTCGGTTTGCTGGTTACTACTGCTTCTGCTACTAGAACCGCAGCCGCGATCACCACCGCCACCACCGGCACACCTCGTCAGCAGTCTACCTCTTCAGTTCTTGGTTTTGCAGTCATGCTAAGTACCGCTGTTGTGCATTATGCACCTTTGCATATCAAGTGCTAGTCTTGGTATGCTATGGCACTCATCGCCACCCCGAACATACACCCCAAGTGTTCGTGAGTTTGGGACGGTCTTAAGACTTTACTGGATTGCTGTTAAGGAACTTAATCTAAGTACTATAAATAGGACACCCCATTGTTTACTATATGTATATATATATATTGTTATTTTTCCGTTATGGTAACTTGAACTATGATATGTTTATACTAAGTTACTAAGTTCGTTAGCAGCAACCCCGGTTTAAGTAGCGCTTCGGGCACAGGGTCTGACCAGGATTGTGGAGATGGGAGGTATCCGGCAATGAGTTATGTGGCTTTGCAGGGTTGGTTTCCTGCTATTTCGTTCTGTTCCTGCAGATCTCCATGAGTGCAGCGTTGGGCTGTCGTAGGAATTGAAGCGCATGATTCGTCGGTGAGCCATGTTGTCGACTGCACAAGGTCCGGTGGCCGCACATGCAACACCGCAAAGTAAGTGGAAGAAAGGGCTTCAGGCATTGATCCGAGCACCTCGTGGGCGCATGTGTCCGGATACCTGGATGCTCTGCGATGTTTTGAAGAGCACGCCGAAGGCTCAGTGGCAGGCGGCGATTCAGCTGCTGCTTCTCTCGTCGCAGAACGACCTGGCCCCAAGCGTGTTCGTACACACTGCTGCGATGGGCAGTTGTCAGCGAGGGAGTGGCTGGCAGGAGGCTTTTCAGATTTTTATCTCGATGCATGTGCTCAGGGTCTCTCCCAACACCGTCACCCAAAACTCTTCCATCAGCTCCTTTGAAACACGCTTCCAGTGGCAACGATCGCTTCTGCTTCTCGTCAGCACGTCCATCACTGCTGTCCAGCCAGACGAAATATCCTTCAATGCCGCGACTACGGCGTGCGTGAAGGGCAGGCAGTGGAAAGCATCGTTGCAGCTGCAGCAGGACATGACCACGAGCAGTGTGCTGCCAGATGTTATCAGCTACAACGCCACCATCGTTGCGACTGAGGAAGACGAACTCTGGGAACGAGCTCTTTATCTTCTTTTGGCTATGTCAGAGCATAAAGTCAGGCCAACTGTCATCTCCTTTAACTCCGCTATCAGCTCCTGTCCTTGGCAAGCCTCCCTACGGCTACTTTCTGAGATGACATTAGCAAGAGGCAGGCCGGATGTGATCAGCATCAACTCTTCCATCAGCTCCTGTGCAGAGGCATCTGAGTGGCAGGAGACGCTCCACTTGCTGTCCAGCATGCCAACTTGGCGCATCGAATGTGATGCGGTCACTGTCAGTGCAGCCATGACTGCATGCATCAATGCCGAGTGCTGGTGGATGGCCCTGGAGATGTTCGACAACATGCCGGCACTCGCAGCTGTTCCGGCTACTTAGTCATTGAGCAGGTAGCGTTTGATCTTGGATGGTTCTTGGGGGGTCTCACAGTACAATAGAATCCCAGAAAAGCCTAAACTAAGCAAATACCTCTTTGAAACCCAGTCGCCTGATATTTGAGCCGAGGAACCAGGAGCCAGAACCCTAAACTCGAGACAGCCCCACTAAACGGAACCCAAACCCTTAACCCTTAACCGTAAACCCTGAAACCCTAAACCCTAAACCCTAAACCAAACAGGACATGGTGGTGTACACCGCCGCCATCGCAGCATCGGAGAAGGCTAACGACTGGCAGATGGCCCTTTGCCTCCTCCAACGGATGCTCCAAAGGCGGCGTTAAAGCCCAACACTAATTCATTACAGGGCTCCTTTTTCGGGGTTTGAGGGTTCCTGTAGAAGGGCTCCTTTAACGGGCTCCTTGTCGCGTTTGTTGGGCTCATTGAATGGGACTTGGTAGGGCCAATACGGCCCATGGCTAGAGTTCACATCCAAATCGAAGAATACACCATTTTGAAGTATGCACCTTAATTATAGCCTATAAGATATATAAGCCCTAAAGCCACAAACCCTGAACCCAGGATGCAAAACCATAAGTCGAGAACCTTAAAGGCACCTTCGACTTGATGTTTGTTTTTGAATCTAGTGCTTCTGCCCTGAAAGGTTAGGGGTATAAGGGGTTTTGAAGCCCAACTGGGGGACTTAGTAAGTCGGTTATAAGTAGGGTTATAATTGGGCTAACTCCATTTAGGGTAATTACTTGTCAGTCTACTTATAACCTACTTACTTAGTCCCCTGGGCCTCCAAGAAAGGCACCTGCGCCTGGACGTCTACACCTGCAGCGCTGCCATCAGCGCCTGTGAAGCCCAGGGGCGCTGGCGGGAGGCCGTGTCCAGGTGGCGCTTTGAGATGGTTCTATTCTAAACCCTATAAACCCTATAAGCCCTATAAGCCCTAAACCCTAAACCCATCTAAACTTCTTAGCCCTCAACCCTAGCCCCTATAAGCCCTATTCCCTGAAACCTGAACCCTAAACCCATCTAAACCCTCAACCCTAACCCTATAACCCTGAACCCTGAACCCTAAACCCATCTAAACCCTCTACCCTAGCCCCTAAATCCTAAACCCTGAACCGTAAACCGTTCCGGATGTAGGAGGTGTGGGCTTTAGGGTGATCATTCTATAGAGGTACCAGAACTAAACCCTAAGCCCAAGTCATCTCAACTTTCACGAACACGCCAAACCCAACGAAGCCCCAAACTAAAATAGGGGCCTCAACAATTACCCATATTATTTTGAGGGCCCCTTATTGGAACTATAGTAAAATGGACCCCAAAACCCTATTCCAATTATTAATCATAAGGCCCCTAGCTTAGATATGTTTTCGGGGGACCGGCGTCTTAGGTGCTGCTTCTCTCCTCCATGTGCGGCTGGCGGAGCCAGCCGAACGTGGTCAGCTTCAGTGCCGCCCTCAGTGCGTGTGAAAAGGCTGGAAAGTGGGTGCTGGCTCTCAAAATCCTCGAAGACGCTAGGTGGCCTTGGTCTTTAGGGTTTAGGGTTATGGGTTCAGGTTTCAGGTTTCAGGGTTCAGGGTTTAGGGTTATGGGTCTGGGCATGTGATGATACCGTCGCAGAGGGACCATCTCAGGGGGGAAAAAAGGGCTGGCTGGGGGAACCTCCGGGTTGGCGGTTGAGAGTTAGCCCAGGAAATGCCCGAGAGCAGTGTGGCACCAAACACGATCACCTACAATGCCGTCCTTTCTGCCATCGAGAAGTCCGGACAGTGGCAGTTGGCCTTCCAGCTGCTCCTTGACATTCCGGAGGCGAATGCGTCTTGATGATGTTGGAATTGATCTGTTGGTACTCTAACACCCCTAAACTCCCAACCCTAAAGGCTTAGCACCTTTAAAGCGAGTCCCATGTTACCGAAGGCGAGTATTTGAACCCGAGCCTGCGTACCCGAAACCATTCCGTGAGCCCGATGCCGCATCAACCCTATACTCAACTCCCTGAACACTATTTTCTAATTAGGGACATGGGGTGACGACAGTAAGAATGCAGCTGAGTCTTTGTGGGAGAGTACATTTATGATTCTTACAGATTAGGCAATCGGACTCTACATCTCTGATTGTAGTCCCGTTCGAAGCCCTATACACTCCAAGTCCAGCGCCGCAGGCTTCGTCGAGCAATTAACTTTGAGGCATCATCACGATCCCCCCAAGCCTTGCCTAGCGTGACCTATGCCACCCCAATCCGTGAGTGACACTAACGTCTAACCCGCTGAACTCCGAAGCTGCTCCACCTACCTAGAGAAACAAGCATAAATAAGTGAAAATATATGTCTTTGATCTTTGGAACCCCTGCACAGCGCGGTAAGACTATTCAAAGCCTCACTAAGATCTGAATGAAGATGTTGTACACAGGTCTATGGAATCTTTAAAGCTCTTCGAAGCTGCATCGAAGCCACAAAACAGCACTGTTGTAAAGAGAAAACAAAACGAGCATACTGGCTTTATCCAGTCCTAAGTTACCCATAGGCTCCAAAGTAGTTCCTTTTTGGGATTACCTTACAGGATCCTAAATATGAATCCCCAAAAAGGAACTGCTATGGATCCTATGGGTAAACCCTAAACCCTAAACCCCTAAACCCCTAAAACCCCAAACCCTAAAACCCTAAACCCCTAAACCCCTAAATCCCCTAAACCCCTAAAACCCTAATCCCAAAAAAGTTAAATCGATGTCCAAGCCCCGGGTCCCTTCGCAGAGAGCAAAGGCCATCAGCTTCACGGCCGCTTTAGCCGCCTGTGGAGCTCAGAGTGCCTGGGAGTCGCTTGGATGCCTTTGGGTTAGGGTCTCGACATGTTTTTTTTTTTTTTTTCGGGTTTT